AAGGTATAAGTAATTATAGTAATTATTTATAGTAATCTAATAAAAAATAATAATATAAATAAAAGTAAAGAAAAATAAAGCTTATTTAGCCTAGAGAAAAGAGAAAGTAGTAAAGATAATAACCTCTATAAAGATAACAGTAATATATTACCTAATTTAAGCCTTAATAATATAGGAAACTCTACTTAATTTAACCTAAGGTATTTTTTTATTACAGTACAGCCGTTACTGCACTTATAACGTAGTCATTAATTAGGCTCTAACTAGAGAATCATCACATAAGTGCGGCATAACAGCAAAGGAAACAGAAAAAGGCCATGTTATGTCTGCCTATTGATGGATACTTCTAATTACAAGACAGACACGCGCGCAAACCAACCTATGTGCTAATTCAAAACGTAGGGCCATTGTAGCTGCTGTCATGTTTAGGTCCATGTAGTGTTTGTTTCTCATTTCGACCTAGAAATACAACTAATAGAATCATTATCTAACACATCGCTATATAATATCACCAACCGGGCAACAGATAGACATAATTTAGCCCATTAGATAGATAGCTAATAGCACCTCGACTAAGGAAATGAATCTCAATGGGGATCCTTGCATGCCGAGCCTGACGAGGGCACAGCAGGCCCTTTGGTGTCGAATCCTTATATCTTTGCCCTCCTATCTTGGGGCGAGTTAATAAGGGCCCCGTCACTTTTCACAGCCACTCCTTTGATGCCCTGGCCTGCCTCTCCCTTAGCATGCAACACTCCATACTTGCTGTATGTCGCACTAACAGAGAATTACTTACTGGTCTTGTCCCAGCGGGACTGGTTGGCTGTACTGTTTAGTATTGTGTACTATATGCTGTTTTTTATATTTCTGTTGTCTAGAGGAGATTCGCGTGGGTGGGATAAGAGGTGGTTGGTTGCATTTGAGTGCCCATACAATTACCACAGGCTACTCCAGGCTCACTCAGGACAACAACAATAGTGCAACTACAGTCCTGTTTTGTGCACATAACAAAATATGGGATAGCCCACCATGTCGCTGAGCGAGCCCAACCTTGATCAATGGATGCTCTCACGAAGCAATTATGGGCCAACTAGGACTATCATGAGAGAGCCCTTCTGGCCTTATCTGGCTGTCCAGACCAGTTCCAAGTGTTGCATGAAGAAGAGAAGAAAACCATTCTGTACTCCGCATCGTTCCACCCCATACAGCTATACACAATGGTGCCTGTCGGGACGGAAGATTAAGTCTTCATTAGGTCTCTCACCAGCACACACGCACTCATCCTCACAATGTACACGTTCCCCATTACAAGAGAATTTGCTTCGATGCGGGCGTCTGCCCCAGACAGGCACAGCATCTGCCCTTTCATTAAGTACATCCATCTCCCAGCACGACGCCGGGCGAATCGGGAAGTAGAGACATGCTGCATACGCCTGCAGCATGGGTACGTTCTAGACGCAGTTGTGCACTACAGAAAACCAAAGCCAATACCCATCTTCAACCAAACGAAAGGCCCTATCGCCATCGAGAAGGGCACCAAGGCAGGACTAATCGCACTGGTCCGCAGGGAAGAAACAACGCAGTTTATTAGCGGAGATTCCCTTGCGAGAGAATAGCTATTTTTTGTCTTTTTCTTTTGTGCGACTGGTCTATGTTGGGGGGGATAGAAAGATAAGGTGAGGGCCTTGAGTTAACCTCACCTTACACTTTCACCTCACTTTTTCACCTCACTTTTTCTCCTCACACTCCCATGTCAACATAGTCTCACTGACACGTATTTAACTTCATTTCAATCCACCTGCATCATTAGCAACAAGTGTATAAGTGAAGGCTAGGAAGACAAACAGGAACTCGCCGGAATTCGCGCGTCTGACGGGGCCTGCGGTCCTTTGCGCTTGGCGCCCATTGTGTGTGATACACTGGGCACACCGCTAACGACAACTCTTGTCACAAGTTGGAGCACACAGCAGGGCATTGGAGGATTGAGGTCGAAAAGGCTTAAAAACCAACCGTGATGCCGGATTTGTCGCGATAGATGATGATGGCGATGGGCGGCAGCAGTACTGACCTTTGGCCGCCGGGTAAACAGCTCGGCACCATCTCTTGACTACCCATGACTGGAACGCTTACAGTAGGTCTGCCTCAGGTGGACCAAAACTTTCTGGTTTGTCGCGTGGTGAACGAGTGAAGCCGCTTGCCCAAGTTTACAACCATGGCTCTCCCCAAGACTCGCCATCCAAGGTTGTATCGTAGCCGACGAGAGATAAGATAGCATGACGTCAACAATGAGGGCTAGGGGAAAGAACTGGTAGGGAATGGCAACTACTGACTTTGGCTTGGTCTATATCCTTAGAGGGAACCGACCATAACCAAGGAAGCAGCCTCTATATTGGACCTCCTTTCTTGCTAAAGATACCTAAGTGGAGTGGTCCGAGGTACCTAGATTGCATAGCAGCTGCCTAAGAAGAGTGATTAGCAGTGCTAGTAGCAGAGGAAATAATAACTTAAAGGTGTAACTACTTACTTAGAAAAAGCCAGGAGACCAGTGATATAGACTTTAGATGACTTTAACGCAATATAGACATTAACACTATTAACTACCTCCTAGCACACATAAACACACACATAAACACATCTGATGTCTTTTAACGCTACTGTCACGGATTCCTCCTCCATTGGGGTAGCCCTTAAAGCCAGAGCTACCGCCGCCGCCACAGCCATAGCCCCAGCCCTAATGAACTCTAAGCAATTCTAACAACATATATAGAGCACAATGGCTAGAGATATAACGCAGTGCATCTAGAGCAGGCTGTCTTCTTTGTACATTACAGTTATGCCCTTCTGCTTACTGCCTACCTATATGCCTTTCTGACTATTAACTAGATAAGTAGGCTTAACTATTAGATTATGCTGTCTATAGCTATAACTAATAGAATTTACTAGAGGCTAAGGGAGACAGTACTAGACAATAGAGAAGGGAAAAAGAAGAAGCAGCAAGCTAAGAATAAGTAGTATTACTAAGACTTAGTTAATACACTAGTCTACTATTTTAAGTAGTAATAGAACAGAATAATAGTACACTAATAGAGCTAGTGTAATAGGGTAGAATAAGAGAAGAAAAGGCAAAGATTAAGTATATAATAAGATATAATAGCACTAAGTATATACTATCTATTAGTAATATAGTATATAACTTACTACCTAATATAAATACCTATATTCCCTCTACCTACTTCTTTTACTAACTTACTTTATTACTAAATAACTATTTAGCCTTATTACGTTAAGTAATAGTAATACTAACCTAGATACCTTTATAAAGTAAAGTAGATGTTACTAAGGAGGTAGTAGTAGTATTAACTATAATATACACTTTAGTAACCTTAGTCCTCCTTAAAGAACTCCTTATAATAGAGGCTAAGAATTCTATAATATTATAAAAGTTAATAGTAAAGATAATAAACACTAAAATAAAAACATAAGAAAAGACTACTAGGTTAGCCTAAGCTATAGGTATAACTATAAGTAAATCTAGTAGTATATATTATTAATGTTGCCCTTAGGTTACTAACTAAAGTATTAAAGCCTATACCTACTATATAACCTATAACCTAAAATACCCTATTAAAAAAAAACTTAAGTAATAACCTATAGAAACCCTCTAGTAAGTAGACCCTAAGATAATTAAATTTAATAATAGCTAATAACCTTTACACTAAGGTAAGCCTACTTTAATAAGTATTACTATATACTACTTACTTATCTAATATCCTAGGATTACTATTAGCTCTTAATAGGTATATACTTAATTTAGGTGCCTTATATATATACCTTATTACTTATCTCTTAACCTTATCCTAGATAATAGACACTATTTATCTTTATCCTAGACTTTATTACCTATTATTTCTTTCTTTAACACTATAAGACTATCCCTAAGAATATTTAACCTTTTATTATACTTAATTAACTTTATTAGTCTCTTCTCTTATAATAATAAATATATAGCTTACTCTCTTTCTATATTAACTTTATACTTATTAAGATAGAGACATTAGGAGCAAGGATCTAGTAATCTAATTATAAAACCTAAACCTTCTCCTTATTATACCTCTAGAGCTTAATCTATAGGAAGTCTTATTATAATAAGATTAAATAGCACTAAGCTATATACTAAACAAGTTAGTTAATAAGTAAAAAGCTAAATAATCTTCTAGAGCAAGAGTACTAATTAAGAAGATAAAGATAAAATAGCTATAATAAGTTAAAAAGGCTATAATATAGACAGATATATTAAATAATCTAGATAGGTATATAATAAAATACAGATACCTAATACTATTTACTATTTAGCTCTTGTTGTAAGTAAAAGATAGTTACTAGTTAGTGTTAAAATATAAGCGTTATCTGTTTAAATTAACAAGAATACTAACTTCTGCCTAATAACTAGCTAATAAGGTAAACACTTAGGCTGCTGCCTTTGTAGTAACATCTTATTTATATCTAGCTTCTAGGGCGTTTAATGAACAAGCGCTTGGGCCAGAATCTATAGGTGTCCTCTAACTGCTTTAACGTTGAGGCCTACTACCGCAAGAACAAAGAGTGTCCTGGTCTCTTCAATATTACCCTCATTAAGTCCATGTAGAAGGACAGGTACGCAGGAGAGAAAGCTGTGTAGACTGTAGTGAATTAGAACTTAAAGATATGGAGTCAGTCTAGGTGGGTAAAGAGCCTAAGGTTAATAGAATAGTTAAAGAGGAGGAAAACAATTAGAAAATTTATTCTTATACTCTTAAGCAGGCTCTAGGTAATACACACAAGCTGCTTATAATATGTATTAAGAAGCTAGTTAATATTAATATTAATTAGTTAAGAACTAATTTTAGTAGTATTCTTTTTAGTATAATACTAAAAACTAGTAGTATAATTATAATAATAAAAGCTAGTATTAGCTAGTATATTAATAAGTAGACCCTTAATAACTAGTATTTATAATTTTAGGAGTATATTAATATTTATAAGGTGTAGTATTATAGTAGTGTAAGGAATAACTAACTTTAAAACTAGGAGCTAAGCATTATGAAGGAAATTACGTCTGAGGTTGCACTGAGAGAGCTCCTGGAGCTTAGAGTTGGCGACGTCTTAATTGCAAGATCAACGCACCATGACCTTGGACTCTTAGGCCTAGGAAGTCGGAGCGATCTACTAAGAAAGTCTGAGCAAGCCATTGGCTGCCACGTTCTTGAATAATATAAAGTGGGCGTGGGCACGTCAGGCACATGGATTTGACGGCCTGGAATCCTCCTCCTAATGTGAGTACCTACCCACCTACCTAGGCAGCTACGTATACAGATACCTTGCTTGCGTCGAAGCAGGCTGTGGCCCAAGAATCAGAAGCCGAAACAGCAATGCGGAAAACATCGAACAGACAACGATCCGGGCGCTTGGGCTCGCACGAAGGAAGCATTCGCAATGAGCCGACCGATCGGAGCGACGGCCAGCGGGTTAGAAAGGCAATTGTCGGATGCTCTGAGGAAACTCGTTTCCGAGAGGCGAAACCAAAAGCGCCCTATGAAAAAGAGGTTATTGATAGGAAATTGTTGTAGTTACAATAGGGCGGTGGTGAAGTTAGGTCCAGAAGAGTGGCCGGGTTTTTGGTGAGGCGTTGCCTTCAGGTGTAGCGTTCACTTGGGAGTACCTACCTAAGGCGAATGCACGTAAACCCATATATCCGAAATGCACCCGACATTTACCCCGCGGGTCCGACCAGGTGCCCCGCCCCACCTTGACAGTCTGTACTGTTTGGGCCAGTGCTTTCCATGAGGTCAGCAGTGCTCAGGGCAGGGCAGTGTTTCAGGGGCAGGTGGGTGCCGAGTGCCGAGGGGTCAGTGCTGAATATAGTGGTGAATGTTCCAAATGAGAAGGTTTGAAGTTGCTGTGTGGCAGCCTTGATAGGGGTTGTTTCCCCCAGGTCGGTGTCTCTGATGTTGTCGCCTTCAGCAAAGTGCGTGTTGCTGCGTGTACGGACAAAAAGTTGAGTTTTGACGGAGGTGGTGTGGTGGAGGTTGACACGTAGCTTGCAGCTGCTGACAGCTGTACTGTGGCAGTTGTGGCAGTGTGGCCAGTGGTGGCTAGGCCGAAAACTGACACATCCTCTCTGTGGGGTTGTGGCAAAATATTGACACATCCTCCCCTTGCAAGGAAGGTGGGTGGCTGTTTCGTCCTTGCTAACTTAGGCCGTGATCAACAACTGCGTTAGAACTGCGTTAACAGGTGTACTATAATAAAAAGATACCTTAGGTTAAAATAAAGTAGAGTTTCCTGTGATTTCAAGGTTTAAATTAGGTAATATACTATAGTTATCTCTATATAGTATATTATCTTTACTATTTTCCCCTTTTATAAAGTAAATAAGATTTAATTTCTCTTATTTATTTTAGTATTACTACTTTTTACTAAATTACTATAAATAATTACTATAATTATTACTTATATACTTAAAATAAGTAAATAATAAAACTAAAAAAGGCTTTTTATTAATTTAGAGAGCTTTATTATTATTTAACTTATTACTTTAGTCTTTATTACCTAGAAATAAAAGGACCTACTATATTAGTCTATAAAAAAGCTAGTAAAGAAGTATTAGCCTAATAAAAAGGTTACTAAAGATATTATTAAAGTCTATAATTCTAGTAGTAAAGTTAATAATAACTTAAAAGATAATAATAAAGATAGCTTATCTTTAAGAAGTATATTACTATTTTCTAAATTTTCTAAAAAGCCTTCTAGTTAAACACTAATATACTCTTATACTATATAGACTTTAGACCTTACCTACTACTTTATAAAGTAGCTTCTTAGCCTATACTATAATAAAAATCTTAATACTAAGAAAGCTACTATATAAAAGCTAGTCTTTAAAAACCTTATAGTATAAATTAATATAAAGAGTTAGTTTACTAGTTCTATAACTAGTAAATAGTTAAAAAATAAGTATAATACTAAAAAAAAGGTTTAATATTTAGGCCTTTATTACTTATAAGTTAAGTAATTTATTTAATAAAGAGTATAATAAAGTCTCTTATAGTAATAAAGTAAAAGAGAACTTCTTAATTTATTACCCTAAGTATAACTAGGTTTTTATAAAAGGCTTAGGCCTACTATATCTATATTAAGAGATATAAGGTATAAGTACTAAAAAAGAAGACTATATACTATTAGTTAATAAGGCTATATATAGCTAGGTATTTAACTTTAAGAGTAAAGAAGATAATAATAATAATAATAATATATAGTAAAGTTAATTACCTTATAGACTATTATAGTTATTAATATTATATTTTAGTACCTTTATATTTTTAAGAATATAGTAAACTAATAAAGAAAAGTAGTAATAGTATATTTTTATTAACGTATATATATAGTAAGTGGCACATTATAGTAAGTAGTACACATCTACCTTATTTCTACTAGCTCTATCCTTACATTAACCTTTCTCTATGTACAACAATAGAATCCTTTTCTTAAGAAAGCTAAATTATCTTTGTAATTATAGCTATCTAAAAAGACTAAAATCTATCTGTATAAAAGGTAGCCTCTATCTATAATATGCCTAAAACTACACTCTATTATTAACACACTAGAAAAGTTATATAAGCTAAGATATATTTAAAATTAATAAAGATAACTATATCTAAAGAGGAGGTAATTCTTAAAAGGGTTATTAACCTAATTAATTAAGGATTTCCTCTACAACAAGAAGATATATAAGATATAGCTAATTAACTTCTTAATATATATAATAGGACATATATTAGACCCTAATAGGTAAAGAACTTTATATAATAATAACCTTAATTAAAAATATAATTTTAATATTAAATTAACTATTAGAGGGCCTTAGCTAAGGATTTTATAATTATATAAGGCTAGTTTATACTTATATAAAATATAATTATAAAGTATAAGATATAGGATTATAATATCTATAATTTTAATAAGACTAGGTTCTTAATAGAAATACTATTGTATATAAAGGTTATTATAACTTTTAACTAATATAGAAGGCCTTATATAAAGTAGCCTAGTAATTATAAATAGGTTTCTATTATTTAGGGTATATATATAGATAGCTAAGTAATACCTTTGTATATTATTATAAAAGGTAAATATTACCTTCTGTTATAGTACTTTAATAGTAAATTTCTAGCTATATAGTATATTTACCTAAGTAAAAATAGATAAACTATAAATAAAATTAGCCTAGATTAGCTAAAGCACTTTAATTAGTATATAAAGTCTTATATAAAGGGTACTTATTACCTTTTAATCCTAGATAGCTATAATAGCTATAAATTAACTAAATTTAATAACTACTATAAAGAAGAAAGTATTATTACTTTATATATACCTCCTTATTTATTATATAAGCTTTAGCCTTTTAATATTAGCTATTTTAGCCCTTTAAAGCACTTATATAGTAAAGAAATTAAGAAAATAATATAGATATAAATTATATATATTACTAAGGATAACTTCTTTTTTGCCTTTAAAGTAGTATTCTTTACTTTAATAGGAGAAATAAATATATAAGTAGGTTTTTAATAGGCTAGTCTTATACCTTTTAATCCTAAAGTTATTATTTTTTGCCTAGATTTTAAGCTAAAGACACTAACACTAGTTAACTTATATCTAACTAGCTTAGGCTTATAAGACCTAAAGACACTAATAACAGTAATTAAAAGTATATAAAGCTTTACTTTATTAAAAAAAAAGATTAAGGACTATTAAAAAAGTTTACTAACACTAATATATAAGGTAATTAACTTATAGTTAAAAGGTATTAGTAAGTTAGTATATTAACTTACTATTATTAAGGTAGAGAACTATTAACTTTATATAGAGATAAAGGTACTTAGTAAGCACTAGAGGGCTAAAAAGACCTAACTATATCTTAGAGAATTACTTAATATAGCTAAAGTAAAGGCACTACAAGGAGAAAAAGACATTATTAAAGCTAAAGGTAAGGAAATATCCTAAAAGGGGGGTTATATAGAGAGTAGTAAACCACTTGCACAACAATATAGCAATTATAGAAAGACTAGATATAACGTATAAACCTATAAGGTAGTTTAGAATACTAATAAAGAATAAGGTAATATATATTTTTAATTAATTTTGTATAATCTAGTTAAATTAAGTTATTAAAAAGATAGAAAGGTAGGTAGATGTGTGCTACTTACTATAATACGCTACTTACTATATATATACATTAGTAATAGTAGTTTAAAAAAGAAGCTTACTATTACTAAGGCTAACACTTATATTAGTAAGTCTATATAAGAGCTTAAGTATAAATACTTTAGTAGTAAGAAAAAGGTACTAAAGTTAAAGCTATAATAAAAGTAAAAAAAAAAATTAACTATTATAGAAAGAAGCTAAAGTAAAAAAAGTAATAATTAACTTAGTAAAGTTTAAGAAAGATCTTAATTATAATATTTATTTACTAGTTATAAATTAATTAGTAATAAAGAAAAAAAAGCTAGTAGTTTTATAAGCTAGGTATTAAAATTTACTATTAAGTAATAAGTTAAAGAAGGTATATTATATAGAAGTTTATAAGTAAGTAGTTAAGTAATAATAGTAATAAAATATTTTTATATTTATAGTAATCCTTTATAGTAATCCTCTATAGTAATCCTTTACTAGTTAGCTACTACTATATTACTTTACTTACTAGCCTTATTATTATTATTATTCTTAGCTTTTTTACTTTTTTTTTTTTTAGCTAGGTCTTAGTAGTACTTCTTAAGGGTAGCCTTTTAAATAATAGTTAGGCTAGTTTTTTTTTTTCTTTTACTAGTACTTTAGTAATTTATTTTTTACCTAAGTAAGAAAAATAACTTTAGAGAAGGTTAAAAATAGTACTAGTCTTTACTTATTAGCTTTATAGCTAGAAAAATAGACTTAATAATATTAATATCCTTCTTTATAATAGTAATTCTCTTAGTATAAATAGTAGCTAACTAAATAGCTATAAAAATAAAGATTAGTAAAAAGATTATTATAATAATTAATTATAGTAATTACTTACTTTTAAATATAGCTATAAAATAAGTCTTAGTAGCCTCTTATAGTATAAAAATAGTAGCCTTTTAAAAGTAAAGGTTATTTTATTAAAAAACTTTAAATATAATCTCTTTATAAAAATATTAAAAAAGTACTTTTATTATTAAAAGATTAGTTATTTTCTAGTACTTCTAGATTTTATAAAGAGTAATAGCTATAAGTAAATTAGTATTATAGTAATTACTTATAGTAATTAAATACTTACTATCTACCTTCTAATACCTTGTCTTTAGGGCTACTATAGCCTTTTTATTACTGTCCTTCTAAGTAGCCTTTTTAAGTATAGTCTTTTTAGGTACTACCTTTTTTAGTGTAGCCTTTTAAGCTAGGTGTTTTTAACTAGGGCTTTTAAAGCTAATAACTTTTTTATACTTCTACACTTATAGAAAATTTAACTAATTTTTATAGTCTAAATATTTATTAGTAATTATTTAAAAAATAAAGTAAATAAGAAAAAGTAATAACTTACTATTATTATTATTATTATAATAAAAAAGAAATAAAAAAAAAGAAAATATAAATAAGTAAACTAAAATAAGTAAAGTAAGTTAAAATTATAGTTTAAAAAGGTACTAAAAATAAAGTAATTTATAGCTACTTTACTTTTCTTTTTTATTTATTTTTAATTATTTTTTTTTAATTTTACTTTTTTTTTAATAATAATAATAATAATAATAATAATAATAATAGTAATAATAATTACTTTATTTTATAAGTAAGAACTATTTTACTTATTTATTAAAAAAAAATTCTAACTTTCTTTAGTTACTTATTTTCTACTAAGAATATCTTTCTCTTAGCCTTTATAAGGTCTATTTATAGTAATTAATTATAGTAACCTAACTAATATCTCTCTAGGCTACCCTTTAGGCTCTAGTACTAGTATAAAACATAAGGCTAATAATAGCTATTTTAAGAATATATATACTAAAAAGGCTTATAAGTATATTAAGGGAATAATAAAGGAAATAAAAGAGCTTAAGAAGGCTAAAAAGTTATTTACTACCTAGAAGAATTATAAGCTAGTTACCCTTAAGAAGTCCTAAGCCTATATTAATAGTATAGCTTTAGTTAAGGCTAATATAAAGGCTAAGGTAATTAATAATATTACTACTATTATATAAGTAATTTTTTTTTTATTTATTTATACTTATCTTTAACTATAAAAATAGGTAATTAAAGGGTAACTATCTAAGAATAGTTATAATAAGACTTAGTCTTTATTAGTCTTTTTCTAGGAGCTAGACTTTTATTTAGGTTAATAAAGATAATTAAGTTATTTAAGAAAATAATAGTAATAGTAACTAAGAGAAGGTTCTTTTTCTTAGCCTTAAAAAGAATATAAAAAAAAAGCTAGTTAACCTAAAAGATTATTATAACTTTAAGGTTAGTTTTTTTTCTATTAAGAGTATTAATATTTAGTAAAAAATATAAGTACTTATAGTTAAGTATAAAAAAGTAAGTAATTACTATAATTAATTATTATAAATTACTAATAAAACTAAGACCTTATTTACTAAAAGTACTACTATATAACTAACTACTAGTATATAGCTTTAGACTAGCTTTTTACTAAAGTCTATTACCTAAAGGTTTAGCCTTTTATTTACTTTAATATTACTTCTAAAGAAGGCTTTATTTAGCCTAGTTAAAGTCTACTAGCTATAGTAAATATCTTTACTAAAGAGAAGTCTTTTCTTTAGTTAGTTTTTACTAAATTTTAGAAGCCTACTACTTCTTAAGATTATAAGCTTCTAAGAGCTATTTTTTATATCTATTAAAAGAAGAAGTAAATAAAAGTCTAAGCTTTACTTAATATTTTACTAATTTTCTTAAGTAATTTACCTTTTAGTACTACCTTACTATAGGCTAATAAAGTAAAGGTTTTTTTTACTTTATTTAAAAATACTACTTTACTTAAGACTTTAAGCTAACTATTAAGTAGCTAGTTAAAGAAGTAATTACTATAATTAATTATTATAATATAATACTAACTTATATATCTAGGTCTAGGGCTCTCTTAGTTTCTTTTTTTAAGAAAAGATTTTTCTAGGATTAGCTAAGCTATAGGATAAAGTTAATCTTAACTTAAAGGTAACTATAGGATTTAGTTATATAATAATAAAGGCTTTTAAGCCTTTATAGAAGCTTTTACTTCTTTATCTTTAGCTTTAGCTACTTATTAAGGTATACTTAGCCTCTTAGAAAAAGGTCTTTAGTATAGCCTATAAAGCTATATAAGCTTATAACTTTGATTTTATTAAAGAGATAGCTAAGGATATTTAAAAAGGCTAAAGATAAATTATAGTAATTAGTTATAGTAATTTCTATTTTTATTATACTTCTTACTATTCTTATATTACTTTAGCTATCTTTTTTTAAATTTATACTATACTTTAATTTAAGTACTATTTATTAGCCTTTTTACTAAGTATTTTTATAGTAAGTAGGTCTTTTATACTAAGACTAGGCTTTTTTTTTTCTATATAATATATTAGAAAGTTATAAAGCCTTATAACTATATATATAATTTAGACTTATACCTTTAAGCTATACTCTAGGGCTAAGTAGTTAATTATTTTTTATTTTTATTTTAACTAACTAAATACTTACTTAATAATTATTTAAAGATAACTATACTATAGATTATATAGCTCTTAGGCTATCTTTAGTAGTTTATTTATATCTTTAAAATCTTATAAATAATATTAAGTCTTATAGTAGAGAGTAATAATACCTTTTTATATACTAAACCTAGTATTCCCTAAGAAATACTAACCTTAAGGGACTTTAAACCCCTTACTACTTATAAAATTAAATAAACTAGTGTTATAAATTAACTTTTTAGCTTTAGTAAGTATAAATAAAAAGCCTTTATTAAAATAAACAGTAGTAAAGATATTTTAAAAGACTATTCTTTTTTAACTATACTACTTTTCTTATTTACTAATAAAAATATATATATTAATAAGAATACTATTAATTACTTTAATATAACTAGTAAAGTATTTACTTAGCTTTTTATTACCTTTTATTTCTAGTAAGACCTTAGCTTCTCTATAGGGTATAATATATACCTTATAAAGCTATATAAAGTATAATAAAACTTTATTCTAGACTAAAGATATAGTTAATTAACTAATCTAAAAAAAGTAGCTTATAGCCTATTATCTAAGGTTACTACTATAAGATAATATAAATAGGTAAATAAGTACTTTTTACTTAATAAAGAGGTATTAAGATAGCTATAAAGGTATATTATTTATAAGCTATCTTAATAATACTTAAAATTACTATTTACTAAAGTAAAAGAGGTATTAGAAATAGTAGTTTAAACTAAAAAAAAAGCTTTTAGTAAATTTAGTATATAGTTATTAAGCTACTATTAATAACCTCTTAATTATCTATATTTATACTAGCTTATTATCTAACTATAATAGTACTAAATATAGCTACTATAGTAAAATATTTAAATTTTATAATAATAAAAGCTTTAAGTAATTTATAGTAATTAATTATAGTAATAAAAGGTTTTTAAGAATATAATTATTAATATATAATAATATTATTATAAGTTTAACCTAAGTTTTTAGTATATTAAAAATTTATATAAGGAAATAGGTAATTAGTAATAATTTATCTAGTAAAAAGTTACTTTTTACTAAGGTATATAGCTAATATATAATAATATAAGGTTCTATAAGATAGAACTATAATTATAATGTACCCTCCTGTTTTAAGCCTAGTGCAATATGATTTAAGTTCAGGTGGTACTTGTGGCTGGTGTTATTGAATATTTGAAATTCTTATTGCATATTTCAATTTTTAACGCAGTTATTGATCAGGCTCTTAGTGATTAAGCAAGCAAGATCCAAACGACAGACAGTGTCCGCCTGCCTCATATCCTACCTCAATGGGTCTCGCAGATTATCAAGGAACCCCGACACGCTCCTCTCGAGATCCCCTTCAATCCTCTTGCGCCCGGCTTCAAGATCCTCCATCTCCGCCTTCAATCGTCAACACTGGGGCCCAGACTCTCTCGCCGCTACCTGAGCCTTCTTCACGTCATCCAGCAGCAGCAGAGCCAAAGCATAATGCCGTTCGTGAAGCCACATCTCCCTCCCGAGATCGTTGCGTCGCGCCGCAAGTTTGTTAAGCGCGCCCGCTGCCCTGACGCAGACGCTTGCTGCTGCTGCTTGCCATCCGCGCAGCTGGTGTGTAGCCATGCCCAGGCTGGCTACACAAAGCTGCTCCTGGTCGCCGCTGTTGCTGTCGTTGTCGTTGTTGCCATTTATCGACCCCTAAGATGGCCGTCGCCTCACCATTCCCTGCGCCTGCGTCACGAGTCTGTCGCCAACCTCAACCGCGTCTCTGAGATACCTTATTGACTTACACACAAGGCTGTGTATTCGACTTACAGGAGACATTCAGAGATGGCGCTAGAGCATGCTATCTCAACCTGCACCATTACTTCTGCTGTCTTCTAAATGTTCCACCAGTTGTCATTCCACCCACCATGCCCGCCTTGTCCACCATTAATTACCAGCGTCATAGCAAGCACGTCGATGGCCGCCGTCCACGGCTCACCTATCAAGGCGTTACCAAGGTACTCCATGCCCTATTACATGTTTTGCGCTCCTGGAATGAGCGCTCCCACCTAGGGCGTGGGCGTGAGCTGTGATATGGTCGTTGCTGGCTTGTGCTGCTTGGGTCTGTGGGGCTGTCGATGGTGGTACGTCCTTTGTGTTACCCTCCGTACCTTGGCGACGGGCGTTTGCCCTGTCTGGAATTGGATTGAATGACCCCGGCATGTGCGTGTCACCACTTTGCGCATCTGGGCCATGACCAGAGCCGCCGGTGGCAGGGGCATGTGTTTGCTCATGATGAAGATAGAAAGGATAGTCTACAATAACAATGCTATGGACAAAAGTCATGCCAGCCCACCTGGGGCCATGCCACTGAACAACAGGACGCTGGCCTGGTTAGATTCATTGCAACAGTCAATGGCTTGTGTACGCGATTTTTTCAGCGCCAACCACTTCTTCTTCTCTTCTTTTAGTCTGCGTCTTGTTAGCATAGGCTCCGAGCAGGTCATCAGATATAGCTTATAACCTTTTGACTTATTCAACAGCACCGTTATCGCCGGTTGCCGCCGACGTTCCGGCGCCCAAAGGTCGTTCGCGTGTGCAACCATGGTTAAAGTGAAGTCAGATTCGGGAATTGCTCTGCGTTATCGGGTATTCTATACCGTATTAAGTTATCAAGATCTAGCATGGGTCAGAGGTGCCCTATATCGGGTTTGACGTACTGTGATATTACATATGTATCGGGTGAACCGCACTAGACCACTTATGGGGGTTTAGAGCGACTATATCCATCAAGAACCTCCTGACTTTCAGTTCTAGTTGCTCAATCTTCTCCTGGTGCTCAATGACACGTGGGTTTGGCTTGTATATCACGGGTTTCTTCGGTCCCTCTTCTCAGCTCGACCCAGCCGTGCGCCTAGTGTTTAGCAAAGCCCGGCATAAGCTTGAGGTTGCTGACAACGGTGGGCGAGGAGCGAGTGGAGGGCTTCGGCAGGCTTTCGTCGACAGTTATCTGGGTTATGCCCTGAACAATGTGGCGCTGGAATCCGGGGCCACTGGGAGGGGCAGGAATCGTCGCGCTCGACGTCTTCTTTGGCGGGGGCAATTAGCTATCCCCTTCAAGTCGAGTTCACAATTGATGGCGTGGGCGACAAAATGAGAGACGAATTGTATGGGACGAGTACATGGGCTAGAATCGTTTCAGCGCGGAACAAGTCGAGTGGTGGGGAGAAGGATTGAACTCCATACGTACTGTGAATGAAAGAGTGTGGTGTAAGCATACTGATCTCAACGGAGGAAAGAAGAGAGAGAAAAGAAGCAAACAATAGGGGCGTACGTTTCTGTCGACTCGGAATGAGGCAAGCAGTCGCTGCTGCGTGCCATGGCCACCAGCTCAAACACGATGGTGTTTTCGAGGGTGGACGGGAATGTGTTTGTGGACTGGACCATGTTGCAATGCTATAAGCTTTCAGGTTCGCGAGCCAGCAGCTGACGCTTGGTAATACTGGGTGACGACGTCGGCAATGACGTTATAGATTCTGACGCGAGGCTGGTGCGGCTCGAGGTTCTGCCTCGACGTTGGCGGCGCCGCGGGGAGATGAAGTCAGATCCCGCAGGATAGTTCGTCATAGTTGCAGTCGTCAGCGCGATGCTTCGGCCTGGTTCTTGCAGCAAGAGAATAACAGTAGACTGGATGGTTGTTGTTAATCAGCCAGCTTCGTGGTCGGTAGAGGGTGTTACTAAAGCCACGACATCTGGTCCAAGGAGCAATCAATGTATCGGTTGTCCCCTTTGGCAAGGCACAACAGCATGGGGCAACGTCGACGGGGAGGTTTTAAGTCGGCTGGGAGTGTAGGTGTGTTCCGTACCTATCGTAGCAGCAGCTGATAAGTGGCTTGTGCCATGTGTGGCATACATAACCGAGAGCTTTTGGGGTGCCTTGCGGACGCTGGCAATGAACGAGGCGGAGGCGGGTCGGGGAGGGGAGGCGGGGGGCTGCTGGGCTTCGGCATTCTGGTTAGCGTAAGGGAGCGAAAACGCAGGGGAGGAAAGGGAGTCGAAGTTGTTCGAACCTCTGAGGATGGGCGTTTCGCTCACGTCAAGATGGCGCTGGTGATTGTCGAGATAATAGAACGAGGTCGTGTTATGGATAGCAGTGTGAGAATGTATATAGTACTCAGATAGTGTAAGAATAACACAAGGTACAAAAATGTTTAGGTGCATAAAGCTGTTGCACAATAAGAATATCTATGTACAATGCATATGCATGTACTACGTGCCGACAAGTGCATGTCTCCTCGAGGTTACCTGGAATGCTTACGTACGTCATCTTTCTCAGGGCAGTAATTCTTGTGGGAACTATTAGAACCTTGGGTCCAGGGAAGTCTAGCCCGGGGAAAAGAGCAGGCAATAACATAAGCATTCTGAAGAAAGAAAGAAAAATCTGTACTGATAGGTTGTGCATATTGTGTCTACTAAACAACGCCAACTCTAGCTAGCCCAGTCCGTCCCAACGGCAATATTAACACAAGTGTTAGATCCATCCTTCCACAGGCCTAGACTCTCCGTTAGTCTATGCAAGGAAGGCAGTAAAGCAAGTACACTACTAGGGGCACCTTCCACCTTACGACAAGGTAACTACTAACTTACTTACTTTCTTTTACTTTAATCTAATTAATTAAGATGTTAAAATTCCTTACCTTGCCCGCTCTTCTCTTTTGTTAGCTTGTTGCGCACGCAGTGGCAGGTCAATTTTAAGCAGTAATTATTATTATTATCTCTTCTTCCCCTTTTTCTTTGTCTTCTAGTCTCCCCAGGCCCGCACCACAACTCGAGGCTATCAATGCCAACTAAGACGATTACTCCCCAACGCCTTCAGACAGGACAAGACCGCGACTCGTGTAGCATCTAATATAGACTTGCGTAATACCCTCTCCTGCTCGGCCAGCTTACACAGCAAATACCCAATCAATATTCACACTTCCCATCGCCACCCTTAACATCCCAGAACATTGTCGCCATGACTAGATGACTCATGTCCGCAATCAATCATCAAAATTAATCCCATTGCCGGGCGACATCCCTATTAAAGTCTTCATCGTCACCACAATCACCATCGCCACCAACGGACAGCCTACTTTTCCCGTTGCCAGCGAGCAAAGAAGAATTATTAAACATTCAAAGCTGTTTAAGCATCCAGGGGAAGTAGATAATCATTTAAGAGCATCATCCATAGCCACCTGAACCTCTTTCTTCACTTCTGCATCTCCACCTTCTTGACTAGCCATGCATGCTTCTCTGCTGTTCTCTTGTACCTCCTCCTGCTTGCACCGTCGCGTTACCTCCCACATCTTATCCTTTTCATTCCAGTGCCAGACAAAATCCTTGCCTGCTGGGTCGTTTGGAAGGCGCGTCCGGTCAATTCTTCTCGCTGATTCGCGCGTCATGGCAATGAACGTGGCCATCTTGTATTCGCCGTTTGGAACTTTGGTGCCTGTGAAGAAATGGTGGAAGTAACTTGAAGTAAGCGAGTCTGCCCCTAGAGTTCAGCATCAGTCATTCATAGTCATCTAGGGATTTCTTTTAATAAGTATGGGTACCTTGTTGGGAATAAGAGTATTGTGAAGAAGAACAAAAAGATGGAGGAGAAGAAAAAAAAAACCTGACTTTATGTATCTGCTTTTAATTAAGTAGGCACAACAAGCTGACTTTCACTTGGACCGCTTGCTAATATGTAGGTCGGCAGGTTGCAGTTAGTAACCTAGACAACTGCTAATCATACCCCTACAAATATGTCTGTACCCGTAATCAATAAAGCGCGATACCGTAATTCACACAGGCACAATTAATGCATAATAGAAGTACCATTTAATTTTATGTAAGGTCAAAAGTAGTCAATGCAGTGGGTTATGAGGATATCGTCGTTTGCTGCAGGTGGTGCACCAAAAGTGATGATATTCATGGTGGTTGTTGCTTGCTCGTTCAATCTAACAGGGGTGAGTGAGGTGGGCTGGTGGGGTGAGAAGGTGAGAGGCAGGATTTTCTGCCACGGGCGGTGAGAGGTCACATGACGTCCCTCCACCCGCCCGTACTTCCACACACCAACATTTTGAAAGAAAAGAAGGTAAGGGAAACATCAAAGATAATTTGAAAGAATAGGAAAATAAAGATGAAAAGAAATATAGCTACCCTGCTGCGTTTAGGTTTTTGCTAGGGAACTCGAAAGTATTCATCTTGATATTGGGATGCTCTCATATGTATCTTGCAGCCTCGCAAGATTTCTTCAGAGGCCAGAACAACTACTATTCTGGCGCCACTCGTAGGGGGGCGTACTGTTACCATATTAACATACCAATCAGGTTCATTGATCACCTTCACATCGTGGCCACTTGTCAGCTTCTCTTTGCTTTCAAGAAAGATCGGTAAATTGTGAGACGGAAAACTGTTTCCCAAGACTAATAACCCATGCATTTTAGCAAGTCTTCTATCTGCTATCATTTTAATTTGGTGAGGGCTGGAATACATTGGTTAGGTGCTATTAGATTGTGGACGTTGCTGAGGGTTTGTCTTTACCTTATCTTTATTACACCTGCATCTCCAAGACATTGAAAAAAAAGACATCTGAAAGGAGAGTCATGCCATGACAGTAGTATTTACAGGTAGTTAGGTAAGTATAATGAATAAAAGTCTGGCTACCGCCGGAAAGGTTTGGTTTCTCATTTTCCTTTTCTTAATCTACGAAAAAGGCCACACGCAAGCTTCCTCTAGGTCTCATTTCTTAATGAGACGGATCTGACAGCCATCAAATCAACCCAGCCTCTACTCTCATTTCTCATTGAGACGGATCATCCGTGCTTGGCATCATCTCATCTCTCCTCACCCCGCCTCATCTCATCTCATCTTAGGAACGGACCATCACCTCACAAAGATCTGTATATTCTGAGCCTTGATGCAACGCAAAGCCATCTGCCAGCACATGCTTATCATACTGCCAGGTCACAAATATGTGTATTGCTAATATCATGCTCCCTAAGATCTAGATTGACTGGTTTAGGTATCTACATGTACTAGTGGCCCGACATCTTTTTGGAATGGCATCAAGACTGTACCTTTCACCGGCCGGCTCACCATCACCCGCAACGCGCGGCGATCCTGTGGGCCCTGCGGGCCCTATGGCTAAGCCACTGCCGTGCCATGCCGCGACACACTTCTGGTGATACCTATCCGCCAAAACATCACAACCATGACCACCACCGCCACTACTGCCATCTTGCATCAATCCCTCCGTCAGCTCTGGCCAACTAGGCTTTGCTCTCTACCTGCACTTTCAAACCGCAAGTACAGAGAGCATTCAGTTCAAGATTAATGGGGTGCGGACCGGGCACCGTGTCTTGTGACATTCGCCAACTAGACATGCTTTCCTTTGGTCCGTTTGAAACGTGCAAGGGTTGGTACCATGACGCGACGAGGTGTTGTTGCGTGCGCCTCACCTTGCTCCTCGATGGCTATCGCGACGCAAAGCGGTCAATGTGATGCGAGGAGCAAAAACAGGGAGACCCGAGCTGTCAGAAACCTGCCTATCCTATGTTCTATCTGCGGTTTCCGCGTTCCTGTCCAAGAGCATAGTAGTAATGTAAACATGATGGCATAAGTAAATAGTAGCAGTAATCTGGATGTGGTTGCAGTAGTTGCAGCAGTTGCAGCGGTTGCAGTGGTTGCAGCAGTTGCAGTGGTTGCAGCAGTTGCAGCGGTTGCAGCGGTTGCAGCGATTACAGCAGTTACAGCGGTGACAGTGTTTTTGAGCGCACGGACGAAAAGTTGGGTTTTCAACCCTTCCAATATAACAGACTGTACAGGATTCTTTGTCGTACCTGAGGCATCGCGACTCCACCTTTGTCATGATGAACTTATCATTCGCGAGGTCAGGCACGGGGAGAATTGTCAGATTTCAGAAGCTCCTGATGTTGCGTATAGAGGTGATTGCGAGGTTGTCAAAGCGAATGAGCAATCGGTCTATACCCGCGAGGCAAAGAAGGAGAAACCCCACCGAAGCGAACATTGGTCTTGCCTGTTGCCGTCTCGCAGGGGCGGTCTTGGTGAGATAATGATACCTGTAGATGGCCTGGTCGAGGGGATCGGAGGCAATAGCACTGCCACTCAAGGCCACGTTGTCAAAAACCGCGGGGCTGGTGCAAAAAGATACACTCTCTTGCCCCGGAGCAGGCGTTGATCGGCTGGCTTCGGAGGACTTCGGAGGACTCCCCCAGACTGATAGGGCAAGGGCGGAGCTGCTGGACCACTGTTGTGAACTCGCTCATGAAGCAATCACCATCTATCTGTCGAGACCAGCGATTTGTATGTAGTATTGCGGTGCGGTGCGGTGCGGTGGAACGGCGCGGTCAGAAAGCGAAGTCGTATTGAGGTGTGGGTGGGGGCAACATCCTTGAGCCTGCCTCCCTGTTTGACGTAATTGTTGCACTGAGGACCCCTGTCGTCGTCTCGTCTCGTGGCTTAAGGCACCCAAGTGTGCACCACGTCGCATAGGTAGGTACATCGTACGTAGATACCTACTAGGGGTTAATGCATCCCTCCATGTACCTACTAAAGTATGTACTACCTACCTACCACCTAAGGTAGATACCTGACTAGGTACCTAGTCTCTGGGGCAAACCAGCACATGGCTCTATGTACCCAAGCTCCCAAGTACGTACCTGAGCACCCATCTGTCGTCTTTTCTATCAGAGTCAGACAGATACATACCTAGGGGCACATCAATCATCCTCACACACACAAACCACATCAACCAGCATCACATCCCACTGATCGACCGGCCGGCACAACACACAAACAACACCACCACCACCACTTCTATCCGCTATTCCCGTTCGCCTTCTCCTTTTCGTCATTTCCGCACTGCCCTCATAATGTACTTCCTTGCCCATCGGCGCCTTGACCTGGAAACGAATGAATACGAGCCACCCCACTTACAAACACAGCCTCGTCTCATCCAATAGCAGAACGAACCCGACGTGCCACAATACTCCAACAAGCATCTGAAGTCTATGTACCTCGGACTACTCATGTTCAGCATAAAACGATTGTATGTCAAGCCCTAAGCTGTTCCCTTGGTCGTGGTCCGTTTTCTTCTGGCAACAGACCAAGCCAAAATCAGTCGGTTTCCAGCCCTCGTCCTTCACATGATACCATCATGTCTTTGACTGGGTGCAATACGGCACATGCGAAAGAGGGGTTTTACAATTGAGCGCCGTAATTAATCCCCATCAAATATTAACAGGGTCTGTTTGAAAGAACGGCCGTTCAGGTGCATGAATGCCTTGCAAGCATTGAAACGCCATCCGCGATATGGGAGTCTATATCCAGCATGCAAGTTGATCTGGTCATGAATCTGTGCTTTTTCCGAGGACTGGTGCTAACTGGTCTCGGGTATCGGTGGTATCGGTCTGTGGTGATGGTACGAGGGAAAGACGATGGTGTTGGAGGTTTTGGTACAATGCGGCGGCACAGTAGCACGTTCTCTGGAAATCGTCAACTCGCCATCGTCCTCACTCGTCAATCCAACAGCTTGGTGCTGTAGAATCGGGTGGTGAGGGACGAACGGGGAGACTCCTGTCAAGAAGAGAGATATCGCACCCTAGTATGTATTAATGCCTGTCAGAAAAGTCCGGTTTAACGCCAATGACATTGGATGAGGTGAGATGAGATACAGGCCCTTGCGCTCCATGTCGTGTGATTCATTCATTCACTCTCCCCAGTCATCATCCTACTTTTGCCCTTGTCAACCTTGGGTACTAGTGGTACGTCTCGCTCACGGCCTTGGACAAGTCGCGAACCAGACCGCCTAGCTTCTCTTCCTCGGGCCACAGTATTATCGCTCTTGGAGCAAGCCTTGTTTGTAGCCCCTGTATCTCTCGTCCCTCGCGCTTCTCCTTCGATAACTGCTTGTCTACCAGCAATACTACCATAGGTTCCCTCCAACCTCCACCATGCCCTGATTCACCATGTGCCGTGATATATAAGCCGTGATTGCGTATCGGCAATTACGGATCCGCTTTTGTCATCACACTATGCAAGTGTCGCGCATAGGGGTCAGGATATATATATTCAAAGACGGTCCATCTATCTAGAAGGGGTAGAGGGCGGCGGAGAGGGCAAATATATACATAGAATCTATCTACATCCGACTGCCTCAGTCGTCGCCGGCCTTCACCTACTGTGCCGGAGAGCAAAGAAAGTCAAGAGCCAGGAAAGTATCAAATGCTGTCATCAAACCCGGCAGAGGCCCGTCACCCGATGCGCATTCTTGTCGACACGGTGCTGACTGAAGGCGCCGGTGTCTCTTGACCAAACACGCCCATCAGCCTTTGCACGGCTGCCTGACGCATTGCCTGAGAGCCCTGCCGCACCCGCTCAAGAAACTGCCTCTCCTCGTTATCCTGCGGCTCCGGAACCTCTACGGGTGCCCGTGGCCCGTTTTCACCCTCGTCGCCAAATTCTGTATCAGGCGGCGGCCGTCTTTGCCGGCTAATAGGCTTAAGCCTTGCCGCCTCAGCCTCAAGCGCGGCAACCTCTCTGTCAATGTTCATCACATAGGTGGTGTTCGTTACGTGAATAATAGACAATGGCTTAGATTCTGAGCCAGCGACGACGTGTGAGGTGACTGCGTTCCATCCATGGCCGTCATCAAGCAAATCAAGTAGGACTTTAAAGTCTGATGCCATGTTGCAGATTGGTATTATATCAGTTGCAGCAGGGGCAAGCGTGTGCAAGATAAGCTTGATGGTTGAATCTTGTAAACGGTTGAGCTCTATTACGTCCTTGTATATGTTGTTCATGCTGACGTCTGGGGAGTGTGATGGGACCTGACTAGGCCGCAGCCATAGGAACGCGTCCTGGAACCACGGCGGCGGCGGCGCCGCCGCTGTGTACTCCTTGTTTCTGCCTAATAGCCCCCCATCTGCAGCATCCGTCATAGCGGCGATCCGGAACATGTGCTGAGACACGAGCCTAGTCAGGTCTGAAATGCCCGTTAAGAGTTCAACTACTTGGCGTAACAGTGACATGAGCTCGCCTTCTGCTGCCATTGACGGCGCCGCCACGTCGCTGGCCTGAAGGAGAAACCGCACTATATCGCCGCCCTCGGCGCCGTAGTTGTTCTCATCAGGCCCTCCTCCTTGACGTTCAATGAAGGCTTTATGGAGTGCCTTGTAACGGCGTGCTGATTGCTGCTGGCCCCACGACTCAAGAAAGCTAACGAGCGAGGAAACGTCTGAGAGCGCAACAAACGCCGGGTCACAGGCAAAGTGCCACGCCATACCGATTGTTCCATTTTGAGTGTTACCAGCAGATGAGCAGAAATGACATGTAGCATCAGCCCAATCGGTTTCGCTGTTGAGAAAGGCTTTTCGGTAGGTATAGAGGAACGAAGGGGTGTCGTATGCCGTGCCCAGCAGCTTAGCGGCCATGCGTAGGCGGCGGTCAGGGCGCCAGGCGGACACAGTTTCGCTAAGGGGCGCCCACAAAAGAGCCACAGTAGAGATGTGGCGATCTAGCAACCGGCATGTGAATGAGATGTCGTGGCGATGGCTGGCGGTTGCTGCTTGCGACTTTCGCGACTCTTGCGACAAGAGATAGGTAGCGTTAAGGCATATGCGGCCGACAACCTTTTGTACATCTTGGAGGAAGGTGGCGTTGGGGCTATTAAGAGTATCAATCACTACATTGTAGAGTGATAAGCGCTGATGTTCGAGCAGGGCTATTGCACGATATAGTTCAAGTGGTATGGCATTGTTTTCAAAGTGCATCTCGTAGAGAGTGCCGTCGGGAGCGGTCATAGCAGTCGTACAAGAGTTGACGTGGGAATGTCGGAAGAGCTGGGAGGTCCAAAGACCTAGGAGAAACCCGCAGAAGATGAAGAAAGCGAGTGATGGACGGGAAAAGGCAACGAGGTTAGGGCGCCGGCGCTGCTGGGTCGGGCTAAGGATCGGGCTCAGGATCGGGCTCAGGCTCAGACTTGGGTTGGGGCTCGGACTGGAGGTCGGAGGATAGGAAGATTTGTTATTAGAGAGTGTCAACTGGACAACATCGTCGATCTTGTGGATAGGACATGGTGGCGTAGGCAGCGGAAGCTTAATGGGGCCATGGTACTGAATGATACGGCGAGGGTGACCTGCGAGATGCAGCGACACAGGGTCGTCGGGGTCGGCAACAAAGTCGCGATGGAAACACAGCTCGATAGGTTGGAGCTGGGTGAGGTTGTAGGTTGCCTCATGTTGGGCGTTGTTGTTGTTGTTGTGCTCGGGGCAGAGGCGCGGGATACGAGTTGAAAAGCGAAGGGCGGTAAAATGATCGCGCGGGTGGCGGTCGGCGGGTAGTAGAGACATTAGACAATGGGGTTGGGAGCAGCAGTCATCGGGATGAGGCGGCATGGCGTTGTCGTCAGTTGTTTTTGGTTGATTTGCTAGTGATGGTGAACCATTGACGGGTCGGCTGATGCCATGAAATAATGACCGGAAGAACGAACGACGGATGGAATGATTGTAATTACCAGAAGGAACGAACGACAGGTGTTGGATAATGGAGGGAGGATGAATGAATGGATGAGAGGGAGAAAGTTATGAACCCAAATGCGAGAGATGATATTGTTTGCTGCATATGTAGGTACTACCTAGATTAGGTTATTATCATCATCAGGCGTATCTTGGCTTTGGGTTGTTTGAGCGAGTAGCGTGGAAAATAAGGGTGTGACGATACCTAGTGGCTGTGAACGGTGGTGGCACAGCCTATGAGATGAGGTAATGCGCCGTCAGCCCTGCCACAGATCGGGGCAGCCACGTGCTTGCCCCGATCTGGCAGCACACATGATGGGGCCCCTGGGTAGGTACGTACAGGTATTTACAGGGTAGGTAGGTACCTACCTATGTAGCTAGGTACACGGTACACCACACCGGTCATGGGTTCCGTGTCGTACTACCTATATTAATTGCTGTCGCAATCTCGCTTTCGCAAGCAAACAGCACACCTCAAGAAGTACCCTGTGTTTGGCGTCGTTAAGAAAATTTTCATGTCGCCGAGCCCGCTGTCTTGGGCCTGTGGCTGCTTTTGAGTATCTTTTTTTGTCACGGCTGTTGAAAATTCCACAGAGCTGCCATCTTGTTTGTCCTCGTCATCTAATCCTCTGTCTAACCAAACCAGCTATCACGCTACAATACCCGCCACACCTGCCACATCTGCCACATCTGCCACATCTGCCACATCTGCCACACCCGCCACACCTTCCACACCTGCCCATGACACCTACCTGTACATCCTCCACAGCGGGCTAGCTCCCTACTATTATTACTAGCCATCTGGCAGCTAAAAGTCACGGAAGCTTGACACCTTTGACATGGCACTGTTGTTTCTGACTGAGACAATGACATTGTTGGGCGCGCTCTGTATGTAGGTCCGCGCGACAGCCTGTGTGGGCTGGCGGACTAGGTTATGTACCTAGGCAAGGAACAGGCGGGTGGGTACAAGGTACTTGTTTTCCGTCCGTCAAGACTCAGTACGTATCCGCAGCCTTGAGGGTCTATCCTGGTACCTTCACCCGTTCTAAATTGAACTGCAAACATAAGCAAGGGTGTTGGGTAGCTTTTGGCAATTCCTGTTAGAGCAGTGGTGCCCCGCCGCGGGGGAGCGCACCCAGGCTTCAACATGGCCATCCGCACGCTGGAGGAGGTCATGTCGGACGAGGTGCAAGGACACCGTAGTGACCCATACTCGCTGTCGGCGGCCTAGGACGAGTCATGGTCCCATATTAGATCCGTCGTCTCGGAAATCGGTGCTGAGGAGGCTAGGTTCGCCAAGGAGGCAGCTAGAAACGCCCTCTACGCCTTCCGACGTGCCCGCGCGCTACAGAGGGAGCTGGCTAAGACGCCTGTGTCCCACAGCATTGCGCTCCATAAGGAGCGCTAGCAGTCTACGTGGACAGTCGCTCTCTGGTGGAACAAGCTCTGGCGGGCATCCTGGGACTAGCACCCGGCTAATAAAGATGGTCTTCCTGGGCCAGCCGCACGCCAGGTCGATCGGCGGCTTGAGTCGTTTAAATCACTATTGAACTCAGTTCTGGCGACGCTCCCCGACCTCGCCGTGGCACTCAAGCTGGGGTCAGCCCTTGAGAAGGACACCTGCACAATGGGTAATCTGTTGGGGCACGCAGTTGCTATATGCGAGGGCCGTGTGTCAAGAGCGCTCGAGGTCGGGAGGGCAGCCGGGACAGTAAGGGGCTAGGAGTCGAGCGTGGGGACAGGAGAGGTTGCAGTGCCGCCGTCTGACGTTGATGTTCTTAGGGGTGCTTTCTACAAGCTGCAGTACTTTGACTTTATTAGAACGAATGTGTGCACCGAGGCAAATCAGGCCGTCAATATCTTTGAGGTGACGAGGCGATCGGCGGTGCGGCTGGCCGAGGGGCTGAAGGCCATCAAGGCGGACGTCTCCGGGGGTTTCTACGGTCGCGGCAGCCGTCTGTCACAGCGGAAGCCGAAGATAATAGGGACCAGAGGGCGTTGTGGGCAGAGACAGAGCTGATGCGCCTCGTCCCAGACCTGATTTCTCACCTGGAGCAAACGTACTTCCAACAAGAGGACTGACTATCAATCAGGTGGTGGGAAGTGGCTTGGTGAAGGCGGCGAGCGGCGGCGACGACGATGGCATCAAGTTGCAAAGGGGAATAGGAGGAGGGCGAGAATAGCTACGGCTCCAGTCGTGATTGTAGTTGTGGCGATGGGGATGAAGGAGAGGGAACGGAGCGAGGCGAAGCCGGGGCGGTGATTAACGACGAAGAGGGGCTGCCATCATAACGGTCACGGACGCGCTGACACGACTCGGTGTCACTGGAGGAGCTTGCAGCAGCAGCAGTAGCATCGGAACCTTCTGGCGGCGGCAGCAGCCTGGCGTCATTGTCTCCCCACCATTCCTTATAGGTCCAGGCGCTCCTTATGTCGTCAGGCCAGTCAAGAGTAGGCAGGCCAGTGTCAGCGTCAAAAAACTGCATTAGTATGCCTTTTTTTGTTTCTTCAGTAAGAGTATTAATTAGACTACTCGCCATCTTCTTCCTAATTATAGTCCATTCCTCGTCTAAGAGCGAGGGCATGTCAATGTTAAGCTTGGCAGCCAGCTCAACAAGGGTCAGGCAGGTGTTGTCCCTAGCAGATGGGGGATCATCTAGGATGCGACAGCGAACCTCAACCGTAGATGGGGCAGTGGCCATAGAGCGGATAGCAGGAATAGAGAGGCAGTAGAAGGCTAAGTAAGACTTCATAATTATCCAGTCAGAGGATCGCCAGGTGATCCTTGGACTTGGGTGACAGGAAACGATCTCGCCAAGGGTACGGCCGCGAAACAAGTAGGACGATCGGGTCTGTGAGAGGGTTGGTTGTCAGTGGCAATCTCAGAAGGGTAGAGGGGCTGTCAGGCGTAATTACTATTGCTCGTCCGGTCAGGGATCTTGGGGGCTTTGCGGGCTCGCAAGGAGCGACAGGGCAAGGTTCAGATGGCATTTTTACGGAGGAGGATCGATCGTTGTTGGATAGTGTGTGCAGTCAAAGTTTGAACAAGGTTAAAGACGGGCAGATGGGGGTGAAGCGGATAATGATATTGGTTGTGTATCGTTGTCTGATAAGGTACGAACTGTGCGAACTGTGCGAGTACAAAGACTGCGGAAAGGAAACGAGAAGAATGAAACTTTCCGAGGCCACGAGTGAAGAGGGAAGGTGGCAGTGGTTAGCGCGGGTTCCCCCCCCCCTCCCCCCCTCCAACGCGAGGAACCTGTAGATGGCGCAGGTACGTACTGCATGTGGACAAGTCCCTTAGGTACATTCAATACACCGCCGGCGGTTTGCCTGTGAGAAACCTGCAGGTAAACGGGCAACACCAAGATCAGGTCGGGATAATCGTACAGGTACCAGCCTGTCACCCATCTCCACGTGCCAAGGCGTCAAGGCTGCCGCGTCCTCCATTCTACACTAGGCAGTACGTACCTGCCCTCCTCCACCCACCCAGTCCTTCCCGACGGATAACTGTGGATCTTTCCCTGGTGGCAGCCTGGCAGGTACGTAACGTACTCCACACCTGCGACGAATACCTGTAGATCTTTCCCGGGTGGTAGGTACGTACTCCATCCATACCTGCCGTCGTCAAGCCGTCCGTCCATCTCGTATTCATTTCAGATCCAAACGGATTGATGCTCGCTCTCCCGGCGGTCGCAGGAAATAACGAACTGCCAACGAACGACATACTACGCACCACCATGATTCCAAGCCTTTTCCTTCCAAACCACCAACGGCAGCATATGATTCCTCGTCTCCTTCTCACTCACTCACTCATTCACTCACATTCAAACTCACACACTCACTCTTCGCTCCTCTCATTGCTGTGTCTTTCGCTGTTTACTGTTCCTCCAATCGATTACCTCAACACCTCTCCAGCCATGGACGGCACCGACGCCAATGACCTCAAGTCCTACTTTCAGGATATTATTCAAAGGGAGGCTATCGAAGAATTACCTTTCCCTCTTCACTCCGCTTTTCAAAAGTATTGCGTGCGCTACGCTGCTAAAAGTAGTCCCGCTCCCAGCGTTTCTGCTCCAATTCGTCAGCCGCCTCCCTCCGATATCACCAATTGGGAGACTATTCCCTCGCGTCAGAGCCAGATCAGCAAGACCGTTCTCCAGCGCAAGGCCACACAGCTTCAGGCCCCCTTCCAACAATACCTCAACAACGAAAGCCACGTCTGGTACGCCCGCTACAGAAACGGACTTGAGGCTGAGGCCGAAGCTGCGGCCCAAGAGGCCCGCCAATCGGTTCTCCGACGTCACGGAGCCTCAACAGGTAATTAACCCGGGTATCCTCCTTCTTCTCAGTTTACTTCACTCCTCGTCTATAAGCGCCGGTGACCGAACATTCCCAAACTCGCAGTTTTCCACCAAAATCCCGACCTAGGCAGATCGTCACGCTTCCCTCCTGCATCCCCCCCTCCCCGCGCCGCCTTGGCGCCACGCACTCCACCTACGCCGCGCTCTCGCCAGCCCCGGGCTATTCCGACCACCCTCTCGAGTCGATCCGGTCGAGAAACCTTGGAGAAGGTCCAGGCCGAGTACGACCTCAATAATGGTCAGTACCAGGAGACGTGGGAACATTACAAGGCAGTCGCAAAGGAGGCGGCCACCCTCCTCATAAAGCTGGAGGACCTCAAGGTCAAGATGATGGGTAATCTGCTCGCAATAGACCGTTTGAACAAGCAGGGCCAGAAAACAAGAGTGTTCCCTCCGAGACCCCCAATCCCATGAGAACCCCAGTCATACCCTTGACCCCACAGCAGCCCATATCACGTAAGGTGGCTGCGACAGACAACTTCTGCCCTGGCGAGGGCGACGACAAGGAGAGGTGGAGATTTGCTGGCACGACCTACCCTCATGGCGGAGGCAAGAAGTCTTCGCGTCGTCGCGGACAGGGATCGAGGGGCAGGAACAACGCCAACAAGGAATCGCCCGAGCCGGCGGATGGATCATGAGGGAGGGGGGGGCCAGCATTGTAGAGTCCAGCCTAACGCAAACGAATGTTTTCTCATTGGCCCCTGCGCAACTTGTCCAGGAATTACCCTTTGGTTGTTATTTTGCCTGTAACTCTCTGTTTGTCTGTCACTTGTCTCTGCCATCAGCTAGATACAATGCTTCATGTTCTATCCGTCTGTTCTCCATCTGTCTAATCTCTTTGCCCTGTCTGTCTGCTATCCCAAAATAGTCTGTTAAGACACCTCGACGTCGCTTGGAGAAATAACAAAAGAAGAGGAAACGCTCGTTCCCACCACCCTTGATAGACTGCATCCATCTCTTATGCTGTTTCTACTCCTTCCCCACTGATTTATAACATGTATAAATGCACATAAAATGTGTTCCCCGACGCCGTGTAACCCGTTTTTAGGGGACGCCGCAGAATCTCTTTGCGACCCCTGCCAAGACCACAAGGTAAGGGAGGAATCGTCAAACAATTGTCTCAGTCCCTGTCACATCGGCCTCCCCAACCTCTTCTATGCCGTTTTCTATCGCTGATACCACTGGCCCATCTCTTCTTGGCTGCCTGTTCCGCCTGTTTTTCTTAGCCAGAATACATGCGAGTCTCAGACATGCGAGCCCGCTAGGCAAATAAGCCCCTCTCACAAGCGAACATCTGCGACAAATTTTCACCTCAGGCAGAGGTTCTCCTCAGCCACCCACCCCCCCGGGAGCGATGTCGGCCAGAAACAGACAGTCGGTTGCCGTCCGCTCCACCTGTTCCTACAACAACGAACTAGTAGGGAAGAGGCCACGTCCTGTTGCAGCGGTGGCCACGTCGCCCTGTGCTGTTTTACTTGATGGATGGACGAACAGGATCCCTCATCAATCATTGGTCTGCGAATCCGGCCCCGTACAAACCAGTAAGGAAGTAAGGGCACGTAGATAAGGGAACCGGTCATCTGGCCGCATCATCGCTAGTTAAGCAGTCCTTTTGGGACTGAAAGAAGAGAGCAGCAGCCCCGGTCTCGTCTCGTCTTGCTTACTTCTAACCGCTATTTGCAAGACGCATGTCTAGGCTGTGATTGGGAATTCGGTAAGACTTGCGAAAGTCAGACAAGAAGGCGGTGGATATTGGGGAGAGGAGAGGAATTGGCCGAGAAGAAGGATATAGCCATCATCTCCCGTCCTTCATGGTGAGCTTCTTCTCTCTCTTCCTCCCGTGTGCGTTACTATGTGAGCGTCTAATGCGAACCAAAGAACAAAACCACCACCACCACTACTACTACTTCAAACCCGGGCCATCATTGCCCAACCTCTACGTCAAACCAGACCAGAGCGGAAAAGCCTTACGGCTTCTACGAACAAAACAAACAAACAAACAAACAATAGAGATCCCATTTCCAAAGCTCAACCTTTAAGATCTGCCTCGCTCCTATGCAGCTCAAAACGAAGCCTCTACTGCTTCGCCCCCAGGCCACCTTTGCCCAATTCTCGCATCAAACCAGACCACACACACGCCACACCAAAAACCTCTCCTCCATCACACAAACAACTATCCCACCAATACTTTCCTTCCACAAGGGATCCCTCGTCTTCTCATTTCACACACACACACATACGCGTTTCAAGTCTCGCGTTGTCTTCACTCACCACCGTCATCCAGTCTTGACCCCGCCTGCTTCCCCTCCTCTAATCCACTTTGTTGGTCTGCTTGCGCGCGGCAGCCAACACAAGGGGGCAGCAGCGGGCTCTTCTATGACCCACGGTGGCTGATCGCGGATTCAACCTGCAGAGTCTTCTATCTGTCTGTGTATGTCTGTCTGTGTACCTGTATGAGGGAACCAGCCGAGGGAGGTGGACAGGAGGAGAGCCGCTCGAGACGGGGAGCTATCCAATGGTCGCTCCATACGCGCACCATCCCCATCTTAAGCTGCGTGCCCGTTACCAAGTCAAACGCGCGGCGCGGTGCACAGCCCGTTTCTTAGGGACACCCAAGGGACTGTCCATAGTCGACATAGCAGCTTCAAACAAGCACCTGCTAGTGGCCTGGCCACCCATCAGCAGAGACTTGCGAGAGATTGCCATGTCAACTTAGACAACCCGCCTCCATCCCCACCCGGGAAATGGATTCAGCAAGGTCTAGCCAGCCGTGCTGTCTCTGTCTCTTTGGGTGTGCGTGATAGAGTGCGGGCGGTGGATAAAGAGAGGGGTAAGACGGGGGAGGGAGACGGGGAGGAGAATAGAGAGGAGGGCAATGTACCGCACAGGGTGGTAGACGTAGCGTTTATTTCGACTTGCTCAATCAGGAGAGTAGGCTTAATTAAATCATAATCATGCGATCTGTTTCCTATACAAAAAATAAAACGAAACCTGTGCCCCAACCGGAGAAGCCCTCATCTTGTCTCACCGAGTGAGCGTGCAGACGCAGAGTCGGCGGCACAGAAGGGAGGGGGGATAGAGAGGTAGGTATTAAGTAGTGAAGGTACATGTAACAGCAACGACAAAGGAAAGGAGAACGGCCGTTGTCTCGATCGTGAATGCGTTTATGGCAATAGCTGGGTTCATGCCTAACAGACAGGGAGCGGCCGCCATAGGACGGATGGCGGGGACATAGAGGCGGTAAAAGGCCAGGAGGTACTTCATAATCAGCTTCCGCGCTGCGTCGCTCTCGTCGCTGTGGTCGTTCTCGGGCCTGTCTTGTCTGTTGGGAAATGCTGCTCAATGGAGCACATCGTGCTCGCAGTTAAGCGTCATTTCCGTGGATGGAATACGGTAGCGCAGGCAATGGCAGCTTGATCGGGCGATAATGCTGGATGATGCGGCGAGGGTGGTCTACAAAACAAAATGCGGCAACAAGGTATTGTCAGGGTTAGCAACGAAGTCCCAATGAAAAAACGGGAAACGAACTGATGAGTCGACGACATAAATTTGACGGGCAATTGCGGTGGGCAGGAGGAACGAACAGATAGCTGGAATGACATTGACGGGGGTGATGTCAGGGAGGAAGAAATGAGTGGAGGGTGGTGATCCAGCCAGCTGGCCTCAGTACTGTTGAGACTAAATTCATGTTTTATTTCAATATTACCCAAGACCAAAGGTGATATTTTGGGTTTGTTACTAAGTCCCCCGAGGAACAAATAGAACACGCAGCAATTCAGCGCACCTCTGTACATGCCCCACGCGGTGCATCTCTCGCAAGGTTGACACGAGCGTTCCAGTCTGGTGTCAAATAAATGTGATAATGCACCGGATCTCCGGTCTTGGTAAGGCATTTAGGCGAAATGCGAGCCGTCTGTCAGATTCTGTCAAGGAGCAGGTATAATACATAGAGAGCTTCATCGAAGAGCGTGTAGTTAGTTAGTGCCAGTCCAACAGATGTCGTGTCAAGGTCGGCTGCCACCAGTCGTTAAGGGCGATGTCAACATTAGGCAAAGTACCGTAATTGCAACATGCTCGATTTGCAAGACCCAGCTGGACGACGACGGCTATGTGTCCAGGAGGTAGAATGTTCGCAGCAATTGGTTCGGGAAAGCTGGATTTGGGGACGGAGAGGTTGCGACGTCGGTGGTGTGTGTGGGTTGTTTGCAAGCAAATGCTAGGTGGCGGGATATTCTGCCTGCTAATGAGCAGACGTCAGTGATGATCTCGAACTCAAATGCACATGACATCATACCGTTGATGCTTTGATTTCAATCTTGTGTGCAAAAGGGGTCAACCAGCTTTGATGACAAGCCTCAAGGTAGGTACCTTAAGGTTGTGGCGATAGAAAGAGGAGCTGATATTTGTACAGCCTGGGTCCACCCCTTGATAGTGCGGGAAACAGCGCAGAGTGCTCTTGCCGTCACTCTCTGCACGTAGTCCCCACACGCCTCGTATTGCTTTGCGGCACGCGTCAGGTCAGTCCATCTCAGAGCGCACCAAGGCCTAGAAGCAATCATATAGCAATATCTTGCTTACTGCGCGTCCAGGCCTAGGTGAAACTCAGAGAAAGGTACAAGCAGAACTTTACTATAGTGTAGCACTGTCTTGCTATTATGTTGTTATGTTGATCTAAGGGAGGTGCTGTTGTGGCGGTGGCGTGATAGAGGTGCTGTTCTGCTGTTCTGCTGGGTGGAGGTGCTGTTGTAGTAGAGGTGGTGTTGTGGAGGTGCTGTTGTAGAGGTGCTGTTGTAGAGGTGCTGTTGTAGAGGTGCTGTTGTAGAGGTGCTGTTGTGGCGGTGGCGTAATAGAGGTGCTGTTCTGCTGTTGTGCTGTAGCAGAGGACCAAAAACTCAACCAAGATCATCATCGCTAGTCGAGATGCTTGACAACGATGCGTTGCTAGTAGAATAGTCAGACTCCATCGAGAAAATCCAAGCCCCGCTTAGAAGACATCGTCCAAGGCGCTCGCCTAATTGTCGCCACCAGGCCCTCACTCAATCCCAACCAAGCGTCGCTGTCACCACGAGAGGCGCAGGTGTAGCAGGTGTGGCGGATGTGGTGGGTGTGGCAGATGTTGCCGATGTGGCAGATGGGCAGGTGTGGCATAGGAATTGGCTTCTGCTAGTTAGTTAGTTATGTCTTTAGAAATACACACTTGCTTTTGCTATTAAATTAATTGCCTTATTAGCGTGGCCTCTTAGCTGTGCTGTGGTACTGTGGTAATGATTATCTCACTTGTGCCATAGGATTAGATTGGATTAGACCGCTAGAATCTAATAATAAAGGGTCTAGATGGTTGTACTCTGTACACGGCGCTGTATTGGCCAAGGTATCTTGGCTAGGCTCTTGGCAACTGTGACTAGCCTTAAAATCCGAAAGTAAAAGCTACCTCAGGTACCTACCTGTACCAGGGTACTATATACCTACCTAGGTATCTACCTAGGTATTTAGGTACTGGTACGTAGGGCAGGCAGTACAGCCGTTTGAGAGGGACCACAACTGCCTTCTGTGGATGTGAAGCAGCAGCCAAGGCCTTTTCCTGTCTACTGTCCAGAAATGGCAAGGTAATTACAGTCTGACTAGTCAGCTAAGGAAGAAGGAAGGGACAAGGATGTAATCACCTTTTTTTTCCCTAAGCAAAACCCTTCCCCTAACTAGGATCCCTATCTTTAAGTCCTTCTGTTAGTCCCTGGAGGTCATTATATACCCACGGCACTAACAACCACATTAATTGCCCTGATCTACCAGGCTTAACCTGACCTTTTAAAGCCTGTGTGCTTTAGGACTTTACTTAGCTTACTGGCTAACAAACTGCTGCAAGAGAAGCTGAACTTTATTACTACTAACTACACCTATCTCTAATAGTCAGAAGGCAATATTAACCTAATGGTTGCTAACTACGTCTACCAAGACAATAACAGCTTCTCTTGTTCCTACAGCATCATTAACCTCTCCCTTACTGATATGTCCCTTTAAAACGGCAACAGCCTAGCTCTTATCTAGCAGTCTTGTCAAGAACTAACTACCAAGGCTATAGACTAATCCACCTAAGCCTTGTTTATTTCCTGCCTTATAACACTTGTTGTAGCACTTAGGCCTAAATAATCTTGTACACCTAATTATATCTAAGATATTACCTAGGCTAAGCCTAAGCCTTTCTATCCATCCCCTCTTAAGTAGGCCAACCTTCCTCCTTGTCTATCAACACTAGCACTATAAACTCCTTACCTGCTCTACATGTGTTAAGACCTACTAACTACCTAGGTAGGTAGGTAGGTATATACTTGCCTTTAGGCTTATCTCTGTTTGTTTGCAGTTACTTAGAAATATTTCAACTAAGTACATGGGTGGCTAGCCTTAGATTAGACCATGTCCTTTAATAAACATGAACCAGCACTGAATAGACTTGTTCTAGGTAAAACATTAATCCTACAACACTATGCACATAGCTAGTAAGTTAACCTAAGATTTATAAGTATCTTTTTCTGCTTTTGTTGTACTTGTTAACACTAACTACTGTTGTTAACAGCCAAAAGGTTACATTACTACTGAGTTCTACAGGCTTGAGTCTAACCTTGTGTCCTTGATTTACCTTATTGATCTTTGCGCCTAGCTCCTGCTATATGTGGTTAGTGCTATTATTAATAACTCCTACTCTGATGACTTTACACTATTTAATAGCTAGATCTCTACAAAGCTTTGAAAGGCAACTGGCTACTAAGGCCTAGATCTGTTGGCCTACATCTTCCTGCTTAATGCCCTTAACTGTGGTTGCCCTTTCTTTGTTGCCCTATTAAAACTTGCTTCTATTTACTATAACTAGGACAAGGTAAGTTCCTCTATACGTAGTCATATACAACGTTGATATGCCTAAGCCCTAGGAAAGCACGCTATTCTAGTGCAAAAGTCTAATATCCTTCACGCTATTAATAACCTACAAGATTACTCTTCTAACCTTGCCTATAAATCCCCTAAGCCTGTTAACTATAGGTTAGGAGATACTAATAGTAATATTATAAATTCTAATTCCTAGAGTAGTAACAGTGACTTTACATTAGAAGAACCTGCTAGTAAATCTTCTAGGTCTGAATCTAAAGTTAAAGTCAGAGATAACAACAGCAGTAAGCTCACTGACTTAGAGTATAACTGTAGTGTTGAATCCAAGTTAGAAGACATTAACAGTAATATTGCTAAGTCTGACCCTAATGACCAGGATACATAGCACAGCATTAGACTTAAGTTCAGGGACTTTTCTTAAGATATAAGTAGGCTTAATTTAGTATATCTAACTTGTTCCTTCCACCTTGCTCTTTAGTATTAAGGTAATTACAGTAACTAACTATTCTTCCCTAATTAGGATCTTTATTCTAAGCTTTCTATTATTATTAATAACAACTAACACATACTTAATAACGGTTTCTAGTGGCTACAGCCCCCTAGTCCAGTAGACCCCATGAATATATCTAGAGACACTCTACAGCTACTACTCTCTAGCTTAACAAAGTTAGCTAGTTAGCTAGCCTTAGGATATATTTTAGAAGGACATAGTGCAACTAATCCAAGCGTAGCATAAGTAGTGGCCGAAGTCGTTGGAATCAGCAGAGGTAGTGTTGTAGCAGAGGTGGCGTTAATAGAGGTGGCGTTAATAGAGGTAGCATTAATAGAGGTAGTAGTACTAATTGTGGTAGTGTTAATTATAGTGCTGTTGTAGAGGTGCTGTTGTGGCAGGTTTAGATACCTCTACAGCCGCTAGTCCTAGTAGGCCTACCTTATTCTCCCTTTGGCATATACTTACTAAAGTAATCCTGTTATAAAGTGCAACAGGATTTTATACCTAAACACTGTATACACCTAGTGGTCTTATTTTACTAACTTTTGCTTATCTTATCTTATTATATTTTGCTTTGCTTAGAGATACACAGTTATAGCGTACATAATAAATAATCCCTCTTTATCTTACACTGCTGCAGTTCTAAATCAGTCAGAAGGTGGCACTGCCCTCGCCTAGCTGAACAACGCGGCCAACAAGCTCATCTCAACTACTGTGGATTATCTACCACAGGCTTACTGTAATCATAAGATACTTATCAACTACATTAGGTAATTATTAAATATTCTAACAAAGTGCATTCCTTCTAGCTATAAGAGATATCTTTATAATACGCCTCTACACTATAATAATAGTATAGAAATCATTAGATACATAGGTTAATAACAGCATCTATGTTACTCTACTAATTAACTCTGCAATCACCTCAATAAGCTATATTATTTATAATTATTATTATCCTATTAACTACCTCCCTTAATGACCTAGCTACTTAATCCTCCCTGAACTTAGTCTACATAATGCACCAAATGTTACTATTATACTTTAGCTAAACCTGCTGTTTTGTTTTCACCACTGCTAAGATAATAGAACCTGCTGTACAGCGCCAAACAACAATCCAATGCATTAAAGTAGGCAGCTGCTTCCCTTTTGTTACTATAATGTTTTTACTATAATAGTCTTATTTAACTATAATAAAAAAGAACACTCCTTACCCTTACTCCTTAGGGCTATATAAACGTAGCACTAAACTTCTTCTATA